TTGATGAGCTCTCAAAGCTACACGTTGTAGTTCCAGATTTGTACGATCTTGTGCGGCTGCACTAGCTGACAATTGCTCAGGGCTCGCGGTCTCAAGGTCAAAAAGATCTGGTGGACGCCTTCCAGTTGCTATCTCTATTGGTGAATATCCACTGATCGTCAACTGACAATTTCTTGCCCACACTACTTTCTTGACCACTTCTCTGACCGTAACACCACGAAAACGTGGGTCATCCAGATCTACTTTCATAACACGCCACATACGTTTGAACAAACCACCTGTCTCTGCTCGGTTCGGCCAAGGAGTTCTTGGCCCACATGGACATTGTTGTATACCATGAAACCTGTAGTATTCAACAAAAGCATCTGTGAAAAAGGCTTCGTCTCCTACGATGGCCTTCGGAACACAGTTGTTCTCATCAGACCACTGCCTCAATGCTTGGATGGTGGTTTGATCTATGAGGTCTTTCTGTGCCGTAGCCCAGAGAAGATTTGTGGCACCATCAAGAACAAGTAGAATGATATACTTGTTCTTGTGAAGTTCAACCTCACAATGATCAGCAAAAACAACATCACCAAAACATGAAGCTCTAATACCGGAGACTTTGGCTCGTGGCGGAGGTGCCACTGAAGTGTTACAAACACGGCAGTTCCTGACAACTGATTCATACTTCTCTAAAACAGAGTCAGGAAGCTTCAACATAGAAACACGTCTACGAAACTGAGTAGGACTCATATGGTAGTGCTTCGCATGAAGCTTATAAAGCTCTACCTTGTCCTCCAGTCTCTGCAACATCTTCCTATATGCCGGTGTCATTGCAACAACTTCACTACCAGGTAATGGGATTGAAATCCGCCTAGGCTCAAGAGCGCCATCACCTGGTTCAAGTGGTTCATGTTTATCACTTGATGGTCCTTTTGATGCTTTAGGAATTTCTACAAGTTCACCTCCTGGCCTCTCAGGTGGTTCTGAAGGAGTATAATCCTCAGGATCATCACCCTTTAAATCATGTGGAGGCTCAGATGGTTTCGACTTGTGTCCTTTCCAAAATGGATCAAAACCCTTGGAAGTATACCGAAACTTTGGCGGCACGGGCTTTTCCGCGGCACTGGATGGTGCACCTTCCTTCTCTGAAGAGAAGCCTGGTTCCCTGTCCCTTGCAATGGGAACCTTCTCTGAGGAGGAGCGCAGCGCACCACTGCATCGGGATCGCCAATGCCACGGTGCTCAATGCCAGCCTTCCTGATCTTTAGATCTGGAATTTTGGCATCTGGCTTGAACTTAAAAATTGTTCTACCACGCCATTCATAGCCAATTTGTAGGTCCTTCCATTTTGCCTTGCGCCAATCATCTATCTTTTTGATCTCTTCTCCTCCTTCTTTCTTCTTGATGATTGTCAGTCGCAAGTCTTCCAGCAAGTCAGTGTCTACAGGACAGGACTTAGTTGCTGGGAAGAGAATCTTCCTGTAATCCTTGTGGTGACGTGTCAGTTCTCTCTTGTGAAGATCTACTTCCCAGTAGTCAACCACAGGATATGCATGCTCAGCTTCATCTTCATCACTATTGTGATCAACCGAAATATGGCCATATTCATAGTGAGTGAGGTGAGAGTAAAAGCTCTTCTCGCGCCGAGCCTGCAAGCGCACGTCAGACAGATACCATGCAATATCTTGGAAGTCCAAAACAAGATGAGTACTGGCTGCAACCTTCAACTCCAGAAATTTGATACCAAGAGGCACCGATGTCAGGTAAGCATGTTGAGGTGTCAACCTGAGTTCAAAGCCTAAGTTCCTCATCTGTGGCAAGCTCATAAGCAAAGGGACTTCTCCTTCTTCAACTATGTCGAACTCTGTATTGTGGATCGTCCATGCACGATCATACATGTAAATCACCAGTTTCTGAGAGCAAGAAGCCTTCTGAGAATTGGCAAAGTAAAACTTGCTCTTGGTAGACTCAAAAGAGTACCATAGTCCACAGTTTGGGTGATTGTCGACATAGTTACAAAAATAATCGACTGCACGCCTTGACCCCATAGCTCTAGTGCATCCAATGTCCAGGATTGCAATAGTTGGCGGGAAGCGATTCTCAGTCAAAAATGAAATAGCCTGCATCTCTTTCACTTCTTCCTCAGCGCTCATAAGCGCAAAGCCATCAGGAGCATCTGCGAGCATCTCCTTTGACAAAGAGTACCTCACAGGGGCACTCATGTCATCGAAGATCATCTCACCATTGTTGACCTTACAGTCAGCTTCATCTTGACATGAGGTCATCATGCCTGACAGCAAGTCCACCTCACTGTCATGGACTTCAGCTGCTGTTGTCACACAATGCGCAAAGAAACCTTGGTGGCTTCCTGATGCTTGTGAAGTTCTTGAAGGTGCAGGTAAAGAACGTGGCTGTTGTTGATTTGCATAGTTTGCATCTTGTTTGCCATCTCCTTTATCTTTTCCTTTTCCTTTCTTGCCTTTTCTCTTGCCTTTTCCTTTTCCTTTGTGGGAAAACCGTGCTTCTTCAAGCTGTTGCCAAAAGTCATTGGCATCTTCATATTCTCCTTGAAGATAGTCATTCATATCTTCGGCAAGAATAGCATCATATGCTGCTTGGTTTGACTCCCAAGTGTCCTCATAAGGATTCTCTTCAAAATACTCATCTGGATAAGTTGTCGATTGCTCATCAGCATAATGGCCTTTACCTCGTCTCTTTCCTTTTCCTTTTCCACGAGGTCTGAAAAATCTGCGGCCTGATCTTCCTTTACCTTTTCCTTTTCTTCTTCCTTTTCCTTTGCCTTTTCTGGCTCTTCTTCCTTGGAATCTCCTCTGGAACCAAGAGAAATTCTGTTCATCATATACCCAAAAGACATCGTCCAGGGCATCTAGGAATCCTTCTGTTCCATCTTCTTCATCTTCGGCCCAATAGCCATATGTACCATCGAGTTCTCCTTCGTCTAGTACGAGAAATGATCTTCTACCTCCAGCACCTGTTGGCTGCATCAGAGGATTGTCTACTGAAGTCTTTGTTGTGCAGAACATCTCAATGAAGACTGTCCTCAACTCTATTGTCGTGTATTGCTGCAGGACTCTACCACGATGGGTCATCAAAGAGGTCAAAGTGTTCCTCTGGTCCTGAGACAAATCCGCAAGTGACAGCATGAGTAAGGCAATGAGATTCTCTCCTAAAGGAAAATCGTTCTGATGAAGAATTCTCAGATTGCCATTGACATTCTGCATGATTTCCTGTACTCTTTCCGCTGTTGGAGCTACTCCATTCATCGCTGCATCTGCTTGCATCTGAGCTTGTACCTGAGGATGTACTTGTGTTACTGGATCCAACATGTCCATCCAACTGCTCATAAGCCTTTGGAGTAGGATCTGAAATCTTGTCATCCATTTCATCATATCAGCTGATCCGCGATTGAAGCGCACGAATTGCATAAACCTATACAGGAATACATTGGCGGATCCCTTCACAAAATATGGACGTAGTACTCGTTTGAAGTATTCTACTCCTGCTCCTGGTGGATCATTCGCCTTCAATGCATCTCTGTCTAATACTCGCTTGTATACAGCTGCTTCTCCTTCTAGTCGGTTTCTCAATGCTGGTCCTCTTTTCTCATCCTCCAGCTCGGTGATATCGCACCAATCGTCTATGGCATCCTCATAGGAAAACCATGAAGTCTTTCCATCATAAGATGGGGGCGCCTTTGTAGTGACCTGTGTTGTCATTGCTATCGCTGCTGGTTCTCTTCTCACATGCCTATTCACATAGGCTGCTGGCTCATAAGCCACATCCGCATCAGGCTCTTCCCAGTCGTCAATCCAATCCATGGCCGGTTGCCCACAAGCAATTCTATGCCTAGGAAAGGAGCTCACCTGGGTCTTCCAGGATCACTGCTCCGCTACCACTGAAAGAGTGACTAGGGCGTACACGATTGAGGTGCAGACCGCTAGTGTCTTTTATGCGCAGAGTCTTATCCTCTTGAGCCTTATGGCAGTCAAGCATGGACACACTAGATAGGCCACTGGAGTGGAACCTGTACAAGTAGGCCTCTACATTTCAGGGGGGGGAGGGGAGGGATGTATGCAATGTATGTCATGTACGTGATGTATGTGATGTGATGTGTGTCTGTGTTCCGTCCTCCCATACCACAAATACTGTACAACACTGCAGTACCAGGAATGCGTTCACAGTGCTTCGGGCTTTGCTTTCAAAAAACACCATAAATGCAATATTGATACAGTGCGCATACATCTACATATATTTTTTGTATATGTATATAAATCCAGTGTATCTTTCTGAAACTGAGCTGATGCGACCTGATGCCTATGACTGCACATGTTGCACATGCAAGATGTAGAAATGCAGTTCAGGAGGGTTGGCCCAAGCCTGAAGACTGCACCACCAGGTCTCTTCTGGTGGCAAAATGTGCCATGTCAGAGTTTGATCAGGTATGCTGCCAGGGTTACGTATGTTGGTCGCCTTGTTTTGCAAACACTGGCGTTGTTGGAAGCTTAGTTGAGCAGGCCACTTGAAAAGGAACTGGCGCTCGGAAGAGTCTGGCTACAGCCATGTTATGCGTCACGACGACCCCCTCGGCGTGGTGTAGGGGGTATCGCGTGACCCATTTTACCCTTTCACACAGGGGGCATTTGTCCCCAGTGAACGGGACCTGTCCTATGCCCTATGCCCTATCAGGAAATATAGGTGACAAACCAACGACACCAAATGTTCGTCTGATTTCTACTTAAACTTAGGCTTGAGGATTATGAAAATAAGGATGAGGGTGAGGAAGGCGCAGGAGGAGGAGGAGGAGGAGGAACTCTTGTCATTTAAACCTTTTCTTACGGCCCCAAAGTGCCTGACCGGTCCCCTTGCCCTGAATACATGCAAAGAGAACTCAGGTAGTTGAACCACGCTGAAGCTACCTTCAGTCAGAAATCACGACATGTTCATGAACTACGCGCGTGTCGCATGGTAACATGAAGCTGTCTTGATGCCACGGCCTCTTCATTTCGACCACATACCACTACCAGCTGTCCAAATCCCAAGCCTTAGGCACGTGGATGCCAGGCTTCACAAAGCTGTCGACTGGACTCTTGCAGAACATCCAATTAAAAACATAAGGAACAAATAATATCTAGAGTAGTACAACAATAGCATAAAGTCGCAAACCTTGCGCAATGACGTCTGAATGCCTTAAGCCACAGGGATAGGCTCATCGCTTATCTTGAGCATTTCCCTCTATATACATGCAGCAATGCTTGCGATCCCTCCTGAAGATAGGGAACGGTACTAATCAGAACTTGAGGGAGTCAATGTGCTGCCGGCTGCTTCATTCGCAGCTTGGAAAGCTCACAACATATTACAGTATTCTTACTTTTGTAACCCATGGCAACGTGCTTTTGCTGCTCAATGAATACAGTGCGTTGCAGGCCAGTCTGACATCAGGCTGCTTTGTGCGTGGCAGTGCTCTGCCAATCAAGCTAGGTATGTTTTCTTTCAGGGATTAAAAAGGAGTGTTGAAAAAAGAAAGTGTTGAAAAAATCCTTTGTCACCTAATTGTCCTTCTTAGAATCTAGTTTGATCCTTGGGGAGGATAGGAATGTGACAGTACGCTGCGTCCTTTTGAGAAGACTAGGGAGATGCTGAGTTCCATCCAACTCTGTGAAAAAAACTAAACTCCGCTGTTTGCTTGTTGTTCCCCAGATAGCGAAGCTATGGGGGTTCTCACTTCTCAATGGATGGGTTCCTGACTGCGGAAACTGGCTGCCGCTGCCGCTGCCGCCTTGTTTCCCAAGCTTGTTTCCCATCATGATTTCGCTCTTGGCTGCCGCTGCCGCCTTGTCTGTAAAGCTTGTCTCCCTTCATGATTTCGCTTTTGGCTGCCGCTGCCGCCTTGTCTGTGAAGCTTGTCATGATTTCGCTCTTGGCTGCCGCTGCCGCCCTGTCTCCCAAGCTTGTCTCCCTTCATGATTTCGCTTTTGGCTGCCGCTGCCGCTGCCGCCTTGTCTCCCAAGCTTGTCTCCCTTTATGATTTCGCTTTTGGCCGCTGCTGCCTTGTCTGTGAAGCTTGTCTCCCACTGCCGCCTTGTCTGTGAAACTTGTATTCCTTCATGATTTCGCTCTTGGCTGCCTCTGCCGGCTTGTCTTCCAAGCTTGTCTTCCTTCATGATTTCGCTCTTGGCTGCCGCTGCCGCCTTGTCTCCGAAGCTTGTTTCCCTTCATGATTTCGCTCTTGGCTGCCGCTGCCGCCTTGTCTGTGAAGCTTGTCTCCCTTCATGATTTCGCAATTGGCTGCCGCTGCCGCCTTGTCTCCCAAGCTTGTTTCCCTTCATGATTTCGCTTTTGGCTGCCTCTGCCGGCTTGTCTGTGAAGCTTGTCTTCCTTCGTGATTTCACTCTTGGCTGCCGCTGCCGCCTTGTCTCCCAAGCTTGTCTTCCTTTATGGTTTCGCTTATGGCTGCCGTTGCGAACTTGTCTCCCAAGCATGATTTCGCTTTTGGCTGCCGCTGCCGCCTCGTCTCCCAAGCTTGTTTCCCTTCATGATTTCGCTTTTGGCTGCCGCTGCCGCCTTGTCTCTGAAGCTTGTTTCCCTTCATGATTTCGCTTTTGGCTGCCGCTGCCCCCTTGTCTCTCAAGCTTGTCTCCCTTCCTGATTTTGGCTGCCGCTGCTGCCTTGTCTATGAAGCTTGGCTCCCTTCATGATTTCGCTCTTGGCTGCCGCTGCCAGCTTGTCTCCCAAGCTCGTCTCCTTTCATGATTTCGCTCTTGGCTGCCGCCTTGTCTCCCAAGCTTGTCTCCCTTCATGATTTCGCTCTTGGCTGCCGCTGCCGCCTTGTCTCCGAAGCTTGTTTCCCTTCATGATTTCGCTCTTGGCTGCCGCTGCCGCCTTGTCTGTGAAGCTTGTCTCCCTTCATGATTTCCCAATTGGCTGCCGCTGCCGCCTTGTCTCCCAAGCTTGTTTCCCTTCATGATTTCGCTTTTGGCTGCCTCTGCCGGCTTGTCTGTGAAGCTTGTCTTCCTTCGTGATTTCGCTCTTGCCTGCCGCTGCCGCCTTGTCTCCCAAGCTTGTCTTCCTTTATGATTTCGCTTATGGCTGCCGTTGCCAACTTGTCTCCCAAGCATGATTTCGCTTTTGGCTGCCGCTGCCCCCTTGTCTCTCAAGCTTGTCTCCCTTCCTGATTTCGCTCTTGGCTGCCACTGCCGCCTTGTCTCCCAAGCTTGTCTCCCTTCATGATTGCGCTTTTGGCTGCCGCTGCCGCCTTGTCTCTCAAGCTTGTCTCCCTTCATGATTTCGCTCTTGGCTGCCGCTGCCGTCTTGCTTCTCAAGCTTGTCTCCCTTCATAACTTCGCTCTTGGCTGCCGCTGCCGCCTGTTCTCCCAAGCTTGTCTCCCTTCATGATTTCGGTCTTGGCTGCCGCTGCCGCCGTGGTTCCCAAGCTTGTCTCTGTCTCTTGGCTGCCGCTGCCGCCTTGTCATTTTCTTGCCTGCCTTTGACGCGGATGCTGTTATTATAACATGATTTAGGTCTTGTTTATCTTTTCCATCCTTTTCCCGGCTTTGAGTGGGATGTCTCCCAAGCTTGTCTCCCGCTCTTGCCATGCTATCCTTTTCTTGAAGTACTATCTGGGATCTATGCCGGTATATTTTTTGACAAAGATTGCATCATCTGTCCTTTTCCAAGTTGAGTATTACTCTCTCATATCCTGTGACTTTCTGGCTCGTCTCCGGACCTAGTTACCTAGTTTGAAGTTTGTTGATGGCAGTGCTGACTCTGGCGTTTGGCCTTTCTTAATTTGTTACGAGGTTTGCAAAGTTCTCAAGTTCTCTCCTTTTGTGGACCTGCAGGCTGGTGAAAAGGATTTCCAAAGGCACTCTAAAGTTGAAAAACTTCAAGAGGCATCGCTACTAGGTTGGAGGCCATCGCTAGTGGGTTGGAGGCCAGTGTTTAATGTGCAACGGATGTTTGCCGCTAAGGATGCTGCCGACCAGCATGTCACCAATTGCGCATGCAACCTCAGTGTGAAATAATAATCTTACACTGGCTTTGCTTCAGGAGCTGAAGGACATGGCATCTGTGAGCCTGCCAAATCCTTCGCCTCCTCCCATAAGAAGCACTACCTGCAGGCTAACGAATGCTGACAGTCTCATCTTAGTGCATGCACTCTGCCTCTGGCCGCTCTGTGGGCCTGAGGCCCAACTGTACCTGAAGGCATGACAAGCTCACAGAAAAGAACAACTTTCAAAACGTTCAGTAATCACCTAGGAGCAAGAAGCTACTAGGGGCTCCTGGCATCGCTACTAGGAGCAAGGACGCTACTAGGGGCTCCTGGCCTTACTACTAGGAGCAAGAAGCTACTAGGAGCTCAACAATCGCCTGGAGGAGACGCTTCTGTTCAGGGGAGATCGGATCAGCCGTCCAGAATCCTCCACACTTGGAGCTTGGAAGGCAGCAAGGTTGAAGCGTGAAAGCCTTCTCGAAGAGGTAGACCGGACAAATTGATCTTCCTGCTCGTTGCTACACAGCTTCTAGGCATAGCAACGAGGAATTTCTCACCCAGATTGAGGGCATGAAAGCTAGGTCAAACCAAGTCGCCATTTGGGGACGTGGTGCTTCACAGCAAGCTGGTAGATCTCCTTCTAGAATCCAGCGAAGCAGGTCGGCAAGTTGGTGCCATGGAAAAAGGCATGCTGCATGTCGATTTATACTTGCTAAAGCTGGATGGACCTGGCTGGGCACGAAAAGCAGGTCAATGCGTGGGTCAAACCTATGCATCACACGCACTTTGACCAAATCATCAATGTGCATGTGCAGTGGCAGTGCGCATTTGGCCAGCGGTCTTTGGCTTCCAGCCATGACAAATGTGCTGATCCCAAGTCTGTGACCTTGGAGACGCAAGATATCATACACGGCCACACCGTTGTCACTTAAAGTTGTTTGGCTTTCGCTTTCTTAGTGTCCTTGAAGCCTTGGTTCCAGACCACCGTCACCACTGGCAAACCCATTTCCTGGCCAACATGGAAAATACAAGGACTGCCATACCAACAAATGCATCAACGCCTCACGTGTGGCTTCACAACCTGCACGATTCAACGGACTGAGGATGTGTCAAATTGTGTTTTGCAAATTCAGCGCAGTGCCACACTGTCACACTTTGCCAAAGTATAAAATCTTTGCACCTTTGGCCATCTCCTCCAGGGCTTCGATGACCAAATGGTGAATCCTTTTTCAGCAGTGATTGATGACCAATGGCAAGGACGCAGTACAGGCATGTTGCGTGCGGCACGTTCAGCCAAGCATCAATGGGTGCACTGAGATGATCAGATCTAATTCATAGACCCGTGGCTGGAGGTACTTCAGGATGTGCCTATGCCGATGTTCACACCCGTGTTCACAACTGATTGTTCAATCTTTGCCTTCTATCCTTTTCTAAGCCCGGGGAGGGTGAGCCGCAGTAGACAATAGCTAGCTACTAAGATATTATATAAGTAGGCCGCTACTAGTAGGGACGCAGGAAAGCTCATGCTTCTTCAACGAAGCTCCCCCGGCCTGAGGGCCGGGGGCCAGGGGAGCTTCCTTGAAGAAGTGCTTGCACTATTCATTAGGGAATCTGGTTTCTTCTCACTTCTCTTCTATATACATTTAGGCCCTGTGCTCCTTGCTGTAGCGCCACATCATTTGGTAGCCTCGCAACAACGCTCTCAACTTCATTCCAGCTATCTCACTACTGCCTTGCAGGAAAGTCGCTTGTTGTGGCTCTCCACTCGTCACTATCTTGATCGTAGTCCCAAGCCTTAGCAGTGCCCGAACTTCCAGCCAGGCTACGGTATCGGTGGTACTGTCGGAACAGTCTGAAGACAGAGTTATCTTCTCGCTGCTTCGGACTCTACTTGGCCGCCGAGGAAGAGTTTACAAATGTTTACAGTGATCTTTTTTCATTTGACAACTGACGACCCTCCAAACACAAAATATCCGCTTCTTCTGCCAAACTGGCGCTCAGCCTGTGGCCCGCTTGTAAACAGACGGAAAGTGGCCCAAAGTCTGGCCGCACAAAAGATGTCAAAAAGCGCCTCTGGCTGGTGCAATGTGCCTGGTAGGTCTCTGGTGCCTGCGACCTTGGAACAAGGAACAACTTGGACAGCTAAGTTTCACTCAGTTTCACTCAGCCGCTCAAATTGATACTGCGGTGACAATCCGTGTTTGAAAAGGTATTGGCAATGGCCAGGGCATAGCGTCGCGGATGAAATCAATCAGGTCTACAGACACCTTGCACACTGAACTCTGTGCAAGCCCTCTAAACTGTGACTTTCAAAGAATGGCCTGGTTGCCATATTGCTTCAAAAGAGCAGCCTTCAAGATTGTCAATTGGTTCTCTCTTCTGGAAGAAGACCTGCAATTCATGGGCCTGCCTCCAATGCAAGTGCAGATGCGCGGTGTCCACCTCCAGTGTCTGAGAAGTAGATGTGAATTTGGCGAGGTAGCTGGCGCACCTCGAAACAAATCGCTCTTTTGTAAGGTCAGAAGGCTTGGCAGAAGGCAAGTGTCGAGTTCCTTCATGTCCTTTCTGCTATGAGACCAAGATCAAGACCACTGTCCCATCTTCGCTACGCCTCCTTTGCACTCGAGAGCCAGGTGCAAGAACGTTCTACCAGTCAAGAATCTTGTATCCCACAGCCCACAGTCAAACGCACCTAGCCTCGGAAGTGGAAGCCTGAGGCCACAGAATTTACAGTAGAAGTTGCCTGAACAGCACTGAGGCCACAGACTCGACGCCTCGATCCTGCCATCAAAGCTTCAGCTCAGTCGTGCAGCTTGCTAAATTTGAAAGAACATGGAACAACATGTTGCTTTTCTTTTGGTGCCTGCCTCAAACAATTGAATATGTTCATGGCTGAAAAGCATGCCACCACAAACAATTGGCCAGCGGGACAACAACAATACTGAAGAGCGCCTAAAACCCACTACAAGCACCCTTTATGCCGTCCTAAATTGGAACCATTTGCCAGAATTTGCCTGGTTACCTCAAAGAGATTTAGAGAGAAATACAGCAGCCCTACGATGAGGGGGACAAGGGCAGTACCAGCTCTCACGCCATCATCCCTTGACAAACAAGTTTGTGGGCACCTTGCTAGAGCCTCACAATGACTCGAAATGTTAATTAGTGTGCCCTAGCATTGCAGTTGCACGCAACCACGTTAGAGCGTATCAAACTACGGTTTAACCGTTTGCAAGCCTAGCCCAAGATTATATCTGCCTGCTTAGAAGCTCATGCTAACATGCTCACTTTGCGTGGTCTGCCACACCAACATTCGTTGCAACTGGGAGGAAAATGATTGCAATGGCTTCCGCAATGGTGAATTGTGGCGTGCAGGGGCGCACCTGTGCTGGTGCTGATTCAACATACAACTACGACGCTTTGTACAAAGCAGCAGCATCTCATTAAGAAAGTATTGTGTTAAATGCAAATGTGCAAATGCAACACTGCCTTTCCCAACACCACCCGCCAAATAATATATAACTATATATATATAATATGTTGGTGGAAAAGCTTGTCGTTTTCTACTCACGTTGTCAAAACTGGTGCTGTCAAACCCTCACGATACAGAAATGTTGTTCAAGGCGCGGGGTGAGGTCTCGAGTTTACCAGATCAACGTCTGGGAGTTTCGGGAGCCCCAGTGCCGGAAGGCACATCAGCCATGTCTCGGTGATCTCGTTGCTTTGGCGTTTTGCGCTTATGGACAGGTCTGCAAATAGTTCCATGAAGAAGGGTTTGATTGGCATAGCATTGCGGCCGCCAGACCATAGAGGAAGATTTCAAGGGGTGTTCGTGATTGGCCAGGACTTGGTGTCAACTGGCCATCGTGTGCTGGCAGGACATGACATGCAGATTGTTTTGAGGTATTGAATTTGATGGTGGACTGGATTTTACCGCAGCAACAGAATTTCTTGATGACTATATAATGGTGTGAAGCACGCAGTACAGTGAGACACCAGTGGTTGCTGGACCTTGCCGATGATGGCTGATTCTGGCCATTGAGGTGAGTGGCGCGGTTGCCGCAAGGATAGCTGTGAAGGTTTCATGCGGCTGCCAGAGTGAACCGTGGAAAATAACAGACTACGGGTAATAACCCTCTTCGATGTGGTATGGCTTGACCTTTAGCGCGGGCTACGTATTGTACAGACCAGCCTTAGCCTTTATTAGGTGTTGTTTTTCGGAAAGGAGTAGCAGCTTTTGGAGGAGATGGCTTTGTGGGATCGCATCCAGCCACCTGCGTCCCTTGACTTTCCAAATTTCAGTGAAATTGTCAGTAGCACGGCTTTGTATGGTTTTTGAGTTGAGACAGCCGTTTGGCTGATCTCTTTGTTTCTCTTCGCCACGCTTTTTCAAGAACTTTGAGAAGCAATGGCATGGTCGAACCTGAGTCTTTTGTAAAGCCTGTTTTTGCTTTTGCAGGGAGAGTCAGTGTTGCGGCATTTCCATTGCTCTCAGTGTGGCGTTCAGCCTCTGGCTTTTAATTAGGTGCATGGAGCGAAGAAAAGAATAACGACTAAATCGATACATGTGTGGCGACCGCCTTCGGCAATCGCAAGAAAGAAAGGCGCGGTGACCCTGAGCTGGGCAATACAATTATATTACCTTGGTTTTACATATAATCTGCTCCTTCCTGCCTGCAGTATTTCTCCTCCTTCCTGCCTACTGCTTGCACCATACATCAAGAAGTACTCACGATGTACTCACCAACCAAACCCAGTTCGAGCTTCAGAGACAAGGCTCCATGCTCCAACTAGGAAGGATTCATGGCAAAGCCTTTTGGGTATCGTGATAAATCGGGACCAAACCAATGGTCGAAAAAGAAGGAGCCTTTGGGCAAAACCAGGTTCCATGAATTGTCATCAATAGTCACAAATACTAACAGTCCGCCTGAAAGTTAGGACCGGGGCGTGTCACACACAAACAACACCGGTGCTCGCCTGTTTTCTTTACAGAGTACACAGTCTTCGCTGCAAACACGGACAGCCTACTTTGCAATTGGTAATTGGTAGACTTGTGTGCGTTCGCTTGAGTTGTTGCAGGACTTATTCAATACTTCAAGAGAGACAAAAGCCTGTATCTGCCAGCGGTTCCAGGCGGTTCCTGGCAGTTCCTCCCACGGTTTGAAATTCCGCTCCAGGAAGGCTGTAGTTTGATAGCGTCACAGCAGTGACACGGGTGGGGAAGTATATCATGAGGTCTTTCCTGCAGTCATCCCTTTCTGTCTATACACAGCTTGACCATATTGCTACCATATGCTGAATCGATGATAATAAGTATTCTTTCTCGGCCGGATCTGCTAAGATGCTAATGGTTTTGCCAGTCATCCCTCTACCAATGTTACTTGCATTCAAGAAACAAGAATTGAGCAAGCCTACGTGAGCTTCAGGACAACTGCTTGGCAAAGCTGGGGGCAAGCACTGCTAGTCTTCCATCTATGTGTTTGAAACTGCATCGATAATCTCTTCAAACAACATTGAATGCTCACAACCAAGCAAAATGTCACATGTCCACAGTGACAACTTGTGGCACCTCCTCTTGCATTGGCTGTTGTTCTTGGAGGGTCCTGCAGTGAAAGAGTTCTGGTCACTTTGATTCTGCTGGTCCTGTAGTCTTTCTGCACTGTTTGCACCACACAAAAACGTTCACTTGCTGCTGAAGGTAATGCGGCTGAATGCACAAAGTGGTCACACATCCTGGGCTTGTTGTCAAAGAAGAATGCCAATGATTCCTGGTGCGCGTATTGCCACATTCAATTGCAATCAAGCTTGAATTAGGAGTTGAAGAGAATCCGTCCTGCTTGCTCTCTGGAAGGGCACTCCTGAATTGGGCAAAGCCCCGCTCCAAGGGGTGTTTGCGACAATTGAAATGCACCAGTCCTTCGCCTGTCCCTTTCTGTCTTAGCCTTGGCAACAAGTGTGTCAGAACTGTTTGGGGCATGATGGACGCAAGTGCCTACAAACAAGAGAAGTAACAAACAGCAAAAAAGTGCACCTAGCTAGCAGAGTCAAGTTTGGCGGGAGTTAGTAAAGGATAGAAAAGAATATCTCGAAAAAACCTGTCAACTTCTCCTGTTGATATGAACGGCAAAGCGCGTTGGCCACAGTTTTGAGGCTGGCTCTCGGTGGGCAGCCTCGAAGCCCCTCACCAAACATCCCTTCCACCAAGCCTGAAGAACCCCACTTCAAAATGTATGTCAAAGAATAGACACAAAGGACTGAAAGTTTCAAAGTTCTCAACAGAACGCCTGGATAAGAAGAAGAGCTCTCAAGCGGTGCTTCTCATTGTCTAAATGTTCCTCCATTTCTCATTGTCCAGCGCAAATTGTGAGTTCATAAGCGTTGCAGTTACAGTATACCCAAAGGCTCCTGGATTTGCAACTCTCGCTGCCTTCTGTGGAGGTAGAAAGCCAATCCCCTGAGACAAAAGACTTCAAAACCCTTGAGCAAAATGTAGCACAAATGCCTTGTAACAGTATATAAGTAAGGGCCTTTGCGGCCCTTGCTGGCCTAAACTGGGCAATGTCTTGCCGCAACCGGCTGATCTGGAAGTTGCGCGCTGCTACGAATGCCTGCAAGGTCAATGAGACAAGCAGTGAACAATGACAGGGAAACAACGACAGAAGTGAGCAAAAGCAGGGGGAAGGGGAAAGCAATAGTGCAAGCTCCCCAAAGACCTCACATTTGCGTGCTGCTAGGAGAACGTAGGAGAACAAAAATGTGAACTCTTCGGGCAGCTTGTGCCAAAACACGTGCCAATATCCCACGACCAGACTGCAGCGATCTGCAAGGTTGTAAGCAAAGTGCACGTCCATTAAAATTCAATCACCTCTCCAGTCCCAAACTCACTGAAGACAAACGCTCAGGACTCTTGGGGCTTAGTTTTTGCGGACCTTTTGGTGCTGCAAAGGGGTCTGCGGTACACTCGATTTGTACGTGTCATCACGACACTACATGAACAGGTGTGAGTGCTTTGTATGAACCTTCGCACTCTCCCTTTTGGCACCTGAGCCTTTAGCTTGGTTGCCAAACCTAGTAGTCCAGGTAGGGAAAAAGTTCTTGCATGACCTCATAGAGCTGTCCAGCCTTATGGCTGTCTCCGCTCCTCACAAAGTGGTGCCAATTGGCCTCCACTGAGATCAAATCTTCCCTTGCCCGGAGTGCGGCTCTTGTCCGCATCCTATTGTAAAATTCAAACTCTAAGGTCGGCAGCTGTACAGGATCTGGCTCCCAAGGTCCTGGTTGATCTCCAGTGAGCTCCGGGTCGCTTTCTGAGTCCACTGCGCTGCCCAACCTTTCCACTCTCTCTTGACTTCCTTCCACCAGGTTCATCGGCTGGTCTAAATCAACCTCCTGGTTCTCATTGGCTCCACCTGCATCCATCTCCACGTCCTCATACGCAGGCAAGTCATCTCTTGCTTCCAGGTATCTTGCCGGCACCTGGATTCTTCTTCCATCATCCAGCCGCACGATGCCCATCAGCTCTCCATCCTCGATCTCCTGGTTCTCCTCATCTGCTTCCATATTCATCAGACTGTCATCCAACCTTTCTAACGGTCGCTCTGGCCCTTCTTCAGCTGGCGCAGTTCTCTCTGAAGGTTGTCGCTGTTGTAGTTGCCAACCGCCACCTTCTTCTGGAGGTTGTCAAGGTAGCTCCCTATAACTCCCACCTGGCCTCTTTCCCCTCAGAATATTCCAGTGGAGGCGCTGCCTCACTCCGTCTCGAATCCTGTTTCTCTCCTCGATGAAATGCATGTACTTGCGCTCATCATCTTCCGCGCTTGGCAGCTCCACATAGCTTCCATTTTTGATCAGCCCTCGGTGAAGTCTTTCCATGTAGTCTAGTGCAAGTGACAGCTGTCTGTTCTGCCAGTCCAGTGATCTGTCAACCTGCTCGACCTCCATGTTCAGCCGGCGCTCTAGCATCTCGATCTCGTACATCATGGTCCTCATTTTTCTCAAGACCATCAAGGTCAATCCCATCAAAATGCCAAGGAGCAAAAGCCATTTCCACCAAGAAATGCCCATTGAACCTGCTGCTTCCAACTCGGTTTGAGTTCTCTCTCCGTTGACCCCCCACCAAAACAAGTCTATGGAGATACTTGGCCAACTGAGTGATCTTTCCCTTCTCTATCTTCTGGGCCTGGTGGTTCTCAGCCTCCTGCAAGCCAACCCTTTCACCCCCTCCAGTTCAAGCATTGCACCAATGCCGAAGAAGTTGTAGACGGTTCTTCCCTAGCGGCTTTGTCCCCACATCTGCCAAGTTGTAGGTGGTTCCAATCTGTCTCACCTCCATGACTCCTTCTGCAACCTTATCTTGCACCCACAGCAGGCGTCCACTTACGTGTCTCAACTTCCCGCTGCCTCTCTTGCATGCAATCTGTCGATTTGCAGAGTTGTCAATCCAGCAGATGTGGTGCACCTTCTGGTCGGTTAGGAACTCCAGACTATATCTCAGACAAATCCCATCACATGCTCCAGCCACCAATGCATGTAGTTCGCTCTCAGCGGAACTCAAGCTCACCGTCTTTTGTGTCCTCGACGTTGAGTGGACAATCACTCCATTGATGGCATGTACTGCCGCTGATGTAGATCTCCTCGTCTTGGGCCCTGACCAGTCAGCATCTGTAAAGCTTTCCAGCAGCCATGGGTGTTCTGACCTTGTCTGCACCCCATATCCTTCCTCGCACATGGGCAACAGGATGTGCTGGTTGTCTGTCGAGCCTCTTTCAGGTAGCCCACCAGTTTCCTCATATGCTGTAGCGCCGCCTCAATAGGACTGCTCATTTTGCTTGCCAACTCTTTGATGGTGTAGGCAATGTCCAACTGCTCCTGCGACAAGTAAATGCCCATGCCCACTATCGAGCGATAGATGGCTGCATCCTGAGGTGTAATGAGGTTGGAAGTGTCCAGCTCTTGAATCTCTGCAGCGCATGGAAGTTTCTGTCTTTTCACCTCTCCATACACCTCCTCGAAGGTCTTCACCACGTTGGCTGCATATTGGCCTGGTTTGACCAGTACGCCTTCTTCCACCACCTCATACTTTCCCTTCAGGAAGGAGAAACCGTCGCCCACTTTCTCGGCCTTGTTGACATCCACCTCAAAGTGTTTCTTCAACTCCATTGTGAACTCTTCAACCACTCTTCCACGTCCAGTGAACATGATGTCATCCACATGGATCAACAGACAAATCATCTCGCGCCCTTCTCCCTTCTTCCCCAAGCATGGGTTCACCACATCAAACTGGAATCCTTGCTCCTCCACCAAGTAGTTCCTGATGTGTTCGTACCATGCCTTGGCTCCAATTCGTTGTCCAGGGAGATTTCGAAACACCTTGTACCTCCCTTAGGGTGTTGTGATCTGCACCTCCCTCTCTTGAGGTACTTGTAGGAAAGCATCCGTCACACCCAGCGCCCCGATGACTAGGTTTGCCCGTCTCCTCATCGTGGTCGTACCCTAACGATCTCATAGCCAGATACAGCACTGAGAGTAGTCGTAGTGCATGACTGCCTGAAGCTGGGGAGTAAACATCATCTCTTTTCTCCACAGCGTACTCCCTGGCCACTAGCCTTGATCTCCTCATCCACTGCTTCCGTGAGCTTCCATCCGGCATCTGCCTTGTCTTCACTCGCCAATCCCGGACAAACTTTGCGGTCAACTTGTCCAACCCAAGGTCGCTCACATCCAAATCTTCTATCACTCCCATCTTCTTCAACCTCCTTTCTTCGACTTGATCAGCGAGTAGTTCAACTTCCCACGATGGTTGCGGTGGTGTCCTTGTCAGCGACTCTTCACTCCAGACTCCATCAGGAATGGGGTTTTCCCTATCTCCTGCATCGAAGTGGTCTACATCCTCTTCAATTGTCTCCACATCGATCACTTCGTCCAGGTGGTACATCTCGTCTTCCCCAACCTGCACCTTCTCTATTCGACGTTCCACAAAAGGGAGTCTCCCCCTGCAGCTGACGATGAAGCTCCTCCAGAATCTATGGCTGGTTCTCCTCTTCTCTTCCTCCAGTCTTGCCTTCTTGTCTGAGAGGCTGCACCCTCGCTGCGGTAGTTGGTGGTGGTGTCTTCTTGAGGACTCGTCTTGGCTCCTCTTCATCCCATGGCAGCGGTTCCACCACCAAAGGTTCCACCATTGAAGGGCCCTCGTCACCAGACTGACCTGCAGGAGCTGGCGGCGTCTGCAATCCTTGACTTGGCTCTTGTCTCTGCGGCGCCCTTGGAGCCTGCTCACCAACTTCCTCCAATGGGGGTAGTCCCTCAGCCGCAGCTAGATCTGGTAGTGCATCTTGTCTTGCCTCCTCTAGCTCACGTTGATGCTCTTCACGGCCTTCCTTTGACTTGGCGTAGTTCTGAACCTCCTCAGCCTCTACATCTCGATGCTTGAAGAGGACTCCATCTGGCAAGGCTCTCATCGGCATCTGAATGGGCAATGGTCCTGCTGCTCTCTTGGAAGGTACTACCCTTCCACCAAAGTTCACCTGGTACTCCCAACTCTGCGTGACAAAGTTCGTGTAGTAAGCCAGGTACTTGCTCCAGGGTCGATTCAACCTCCTCAATGAGCGAGTCAGCATCACCTGCGTTCCATCACCCACAATGTAAGCATCTTGTGCATCTGTCTTCCCCAAGAAGATTGCCAACCTCCATTTGGGGTTTCCTTTCCCCGACTGGGGTTTGCTGTAGGCGTAGACCGGACACCTAAAAGGAACTAAGACTCCCTCATACGGCTTGCCATGAACCAGTTCAAAGCTCGTGACTCCTCTTGAAGCCTGGTACCTATTGAGAGTCCAGCATGCATGCCGCGCTGCCCAGCTCCATAGACCGTGGTTCGTGTTGAGCTTCAGTCCAGCGCGGCCCATCAAATCTTCATCATAGTGCACGCCAAACCTCTCACTCTCTGAATGGCGTTTTCCGCCAGAGAGTTCCCAGCTGAGTCCTTCACCTTTGCGGTATAAATTCTGGTTCTCGGGCCCATTGCATGTCTGCTGTTGAGGATGATTCTCAGCAGGGTAGGCTCGAGATGCCCACTTCGGTGTGTCCCAGCCCTTGAGTGAAAGTCATCACTTCCCTTGCCATCAAGTGGATCTGATCTTTTCCTTACAGCGGGACAGCTCCTAGGGCACCAGTTTGAGAGCAGACCAACATGAGCCACATGGCTGCCTTCACTTCCCGCAATGGTGGTTGCTCTCCCTGCCCACGTTCGTGTTGCTCTCCCTCTCCAAAGAGATTAATCACCTCCTCCTGCTCCATCTCTCCACCACCCCAGCCTTCGCGTAGCAAAAGTCGAGGCTGATGATCGGAATTCCACTCACCCTTGCTGCTCCCGTTCTTTGAGGCCTGTCAGGTCTTCCTCGATGAACCAGGCATGCCTCGCACCAAGGAGCATACGGGGTATGTGTCAGACAGCGCCTCTCCTGTTCTTCCGGTCCCGGCACTCAAAATAAGATTCTGGCCTCGTGGTTTGCGGGACTCCTGCATTCGAGCTGCCGCTACTGCCTCACCTCACTAGCCTCTGGAAACATTTCATCCTGCTCCCAGACTGACTTATTCTGAAGAAGTTGCAAGC